CCGCACTGCTCACGCTGAAAATAGATAATTCTCTTATTTTCTTTCTAAACACATGAATACCAAGATAATAATACAAATTATAATAATAGGCGTCTAATAATAGTAACAATAGTGCGTTTTAAGTACACAACGCATGTTCACCACAGCGATTTGGCAGTTTGACAGAACGTCTCTTGTGATACGTGTATTTGTTTGACGAGTCATATTCAAATTGTTCGGAATGAAACTGGAATATATTAGATTTGTTCTTAAGAAGTGCGTTTCTAGAAGGTTTCTAAAGTTTGCTGTTTTCGTGCGACTTTGACAGTGTTTTGAATGTATCTTCTTCTCATTATCTCTCGTCTTTGTCATTATAAATAGGACTACTCTTTGGGTTGAACCCCCTCTTTTCTCCCAAGCCCATGCATAACAAAATCCTGCATAAACAGAGCGCTACATTACCGACTTTAGTTGCGTAACCCACACGTCATATCCTATTGGACTGCTGAGGTCGATGACCCTATGCAGTCAAGGCCTCCTTCGACTGGCCGATCCAGTACTGTTCACAGCAAAAGCAAGAAAAAGAATATCTCTCGGTGGACATTTAAACGTTTAAAAACACCGTAGACATTCCATGGTGGCGTTGTGTTTGCCTGTCCGCATGCGTAGAATTCTGATTGTGGAAGGGGATCTTGGGCTTGTAAATTAACAATATGAAGTAAGAGCATAGACTTGTGTCATTTCATTTACCAATCAAAAGCCTATTGTCTACGTAACGATGTTTAGAATCACAGTATCAGTGTATTATTTTGCATGCTTATGCTGGCACAGACCTTACAAGAGGCCGTGCAAATTTTTGAGGTCGTGTCAGACTAGTGGAATGTGTTTGTGGCAGATCTTCTGAAAATTCGTTTGGTAACTGGTCTGTTTAAAAACTCTGAATTTGTGTTAATAATAATAATGGATGGGTTCTTTCTATGGACGCTATGCGTCTCGTGACGTCATAACATGTTAACTGTGATCGTAAGCAACTGACTGCAGGTTTAGTACGGTTCTTAACCATGTGCCTGATAAGACTTTAGGTGCATTTCACGTGTCGCTTCGTCAACTCGCACAAAATTCTGATTGTTTACAATGGCAGACTCTGCTAAATTAATAGAGACTAAACGGAAGTATTGGCTAGCAAGTTCTGTCTCGCATCTCGAGGGTTAAATTTCCAAAGAAGAATACTTTAAAAACAGTGAATACTGTATCTCTACTTATGGTCCACTAGGAACTTCTGCACATATTGGCTGCTTTTTTGGTGAAAATATCAAACCGTTAGAATCACTCCAGTATTTTATTCTTCAAATCATTATTTCCAGTGTTTGTAACATAGCACCAAGCGAGTTTAAATACCAAAAACCCGGTAGTTTATGAAGTAATAATCACCACTGGAATACTTTCTTGGGATTTTCCCCATTGATCATTAGAATCATCTCACTTTTACAAAATAGAATTTACGTTGTTTAACAGGCTGCATGTGGTGCTGAGTTCAGTGATAAAGCTTTATAAAGGCTTAAGGGACTCGATAAAAATGACGCCACTAGTTTATATGATAAAAGAGAAAGGATCAACTTGTGAAATGTCGTATGTTCTGTTTTTAATTAAAATAATTAAACAGTGGACATGATTTTCGGAACAATCATCCACTGTAACAAACCTCTGCACTCAGATGTCCAACAACATGACACTTGTCATAGTCAATGGCAGCATGGAGATTTCAACGCTAGATCAAGATTCAAACCTACTTTGCCAATCCTATAAATTTTCCATAAAACGTGTCTCCTCTATAGTGTACCGCAGTCACTGAGACTATAAGCTCGTTATAAAAGTATGCAACTTCAAACAACATAACATGCTATGACAACGTAAAACTTGTCTGTAAAAAGACGATGAAGCCAACTTCTTAATGCAGTTTAATTAATTCTTCTCATAACGTGTGATCGACCTCATAGACTTAACTGTCGTACTACAGTATCCGGCAATAAATGAGGTGCTTTAAGAATCAGTAAAACTCCATCTCTCTTAGGGTTACTAATGTAACAATCACAAGTAATGCTGTTGCCGGATAAGGCGGAAGGAATGAAGACCTGTTGTAGCGCTCATTCTTAGCGTATTTCTTAGTAGGTCTAAGCATAATAAATGATTAAATCAGGTTGTCCAGTCCTCCAGCAATGGGTCGGGGACCGGTACTCTGCCTGTCCCATCTTATACGAAACAAATAGTAGTTTACTAACTAATAATTATTTGCATGTCTAAACGTGTTTATTTATAATGCAGGAAATGACATGGACAAACGGCGGGGAGGCCTGTTATCTTGGCCAGTTCTGAGACCTTGACGACTGCAATCTCGGTCGGTTCAAACAGTAAATGTTTCTCCTGTGTGTTTCTTTTTGTTACGATGGAGTGAAAATACGTCTGTGTGGATGATGATTGCAGCGATGGAATGAAATTGACAAAGCAAAACCGATGGACTCTGAGAAAAACCTGTCCCAGAGCCACCTTCCCCACCACAAATCCAACGCGGATTGTCCTGGATTTCCGGAGAGAGAAACCTACGACAAACTACCTGTTCTATTGCATGGCCCTCAAATGTGGTTTATGCAGTTACTGGGGGAATGCAAGAGGGCCGTCGCGAGGACTTGACCTTACTTGGCAGCCACAATGCCACACTGTAGTACCAAGGCCTTGCATCTCGTATCAGCTGTACCACGCCACGTGCCAAGCTGACTGCTCGGCTGATCGTATTTGGTGTAAACACCACACTGGTGTATTTCGTGGCCTGAATCTGTAAACTGCATGGTTTGTATAGCGTATCTTACGCAATACAGTGTCCTTTGAATACAGAGTAGCGTCCATAATATAAAATCGGATTATTTTACGAAGCTATATCAACTGTCAAATTTATTTTAGTAAAAGTGATGAAAGAGCAATTATGAGATAATAGCACAGTAAAAAGTGGGAAAATTGGAAAAGATCCTGGAGAAAATCTTACCCCTAATTTTGTCATGCACCACAAATAAAATATGAAGTGTAGATGCCTGAGTCGAGATACGTTTCTGAAGAATTATACAGCAAGCCACAGGTAGCCACGTAGTTAACACTACCTCATCCTACTCTATTGAAGTAATACATACCGGACTACAACTCATGTCACCGACACATGAGGTGCTTCTGTTCCTTGTTGTCTTCTTCACTGACTCATTGTTGAATCATCGCTTCAGTCCGCTTGTTTGTTGCTAGTTACAGTTGCTTAAAATGTACATCCATTATTTGATTAGCTTGAACACAGGAGTAACACTTACGTAAGAAATGAACACTTGAATTCGCATCACGCGACTACAGGTATTTCACTCCCTGACTTGATAAAGTTGTGACGTCACTTAACCTTATACACTATAGTGGTCAATTTGTTGTCACATGTCTTATGGCCGAATTACTTGGCATGTTACGTATGAAGTAAATTTACAAGTTTCGCACTTGGCTGGCTTCGGATTAAAGGTAGTTTACTTCTATATATTCCTAAATATCTTCAAAACTGTTTGTGGAGAACGGTGTGTTTACTTGGAGACATGATCCGAGTTTAATATTATTTACACAATTAACTTATGCCCTAAAGATTTAATATATCTGAGTGTTAAATAACTAAGAATGTAGGCAACATTTTGTGGGATACAGTGTTATAGAAAATTAAATGTGTTTTCCTCACAGTTAAATTAGTTGAGCAAATATGTTGGTATTATCCTTTATACCTACGAGTCAGTCTTTTCATGTTAAAAATCTCCCGAAATTTTCGCCAATTTTAGATTTATTAGGATACGCGAATGGGTCATGTTTCTTTATTATACACTTACACTATAATTCACTGGAACACGTGTGCCATACAACAACTTTAAATTAAACACTTTTTATGCAGAAAAGTAATACTAGAATTTTAAGTGTGTCACGATGCCGGCTTTTTAAAATGCCATACGTAACTCTGAACCTTTGCGCAGGAGAGTAGAATCACTGAACAAACATTGTGACGCAGCATCGGTACTTGACAGTCTGGACCGATGTGCCAGGAGACTGAAAGGAGATCTTGGCTCCTACTGGTCGGCATTTGTTTTCTTGTTACCTGGCCATGCTGCCACGAACCGGTTGGGCTGGCTGGTGTCTCCCGCCATTCCTGTTTGTTTTATTGTGCCCCGCACTCTGCCGGCGGTAACTGAAAGCTCAAAACAGTGATTTAATATGTCGGTTTGTAATGTAATTGTTATGGTAGAAGGATGAGGTGGGCAGGGCATGTAGCGCGAAAATCAGAGAGGCATATAACATGTCACGAAAACGTAAAGAGAAAAGATCACTTTGGAGACAGGCATAGATGGGATGATAATATTAAAATGGATCATAGAGAAGTGGTGTGAAAGATTTATCTTGATTAATCTATCTGAGGATAAGGTACAGTGGCGAAGTAACAATCCCTGCAGATCCTATCAGCTTCTCGAAGATGATAACACAAGAGCACAGAGAAACTATGACAAAAGTGGAGTTAAACACTGATGGATCGTCTTAGTTTCTTCAGATGATTCTTGGGTAATGTCACCTCACTTTTTCAACTCCATAGATTAAACAGCAGCGGATGGTAGTTTAGTGGCACGCCATAGATTATAGAGCGTTGGAAGGAAGTGGTTGTGGGCTATTTTAAGATATTCCATAAATAGTACGGATGAACTGAGGAAAACCTCATAAGGTTGCCTGACTCTGGGTCGAGATACGAACCCCTAGCCTTCCGAATATGAGGTGTGCTAAATACTCGACCTCACTAAAAGAATTGCTGATGTCCTTATCGCTGAAGTATGAAGGATAAAAAGAATAGGACAATAAAAGCAAGTGAAAGTCGCCAGCATTACGGGTTACACAACCAATCGCAGGAGAATTTACTTCTTTTATAAATAGAGAGTTACCTGATCGGAGCACCTAGTTTTGCCTCAGTCATTATGAGAACTAGTTGTGTTTTGGTGCTGGCAGCACTGTGTGTGGGAGTGGGTTGCCATGACAACGCACCGCAGGTGACTGTGAAGCAGGGTTCGCTCAGGGGACACTACCTCACCTCTAGAAAAGGTCGACGATTCGTCGGCTTTCAGGGGGTGCCATATGCGAAACCTCCTTTGGGAGAGATGCGGTTCAGGGTGAGTCGAACACCAACACTCAGTCACTCGGCTACGGTAGTGACACCTACTTATCAAAGTGTTCTCCCGGTTGAGGCCCTGGTCTCTCCAGGTATGCTTCATTTAAATATGTTGTAATGGCTTCATTCTTTGACTTCTAAGCGACGCTGCTTTAACTTTATATGCTAAAAAGCACCGATTGATTAGAGTACTGCTAAATTAAAGTACTGTTAAATTAAAAAGTAAAATGTGGAACGGCGCGGTCTAGGCCTATGGGCTGAATTCTAGTTCAGAACATCTGGAATACTGAACAGGACAGCCGATGCCGTGTTAGTCTTGTAGGCTACGCATAACGCCCACTGAGAAATGCGTTCTATCGGCTTTTACTGAAGCCATCTCTCAAAGTACAAATCGAATTTGTTGCGCCGTGTAATCAGGTAGAAGTTTACCGACGTTTCAAAGGTGCTTGCTGCCTCCACCATCAGGGCAATGGGTAAACACCACTCCCGGTGCCCTGACCCTTGTATGTTGTGTCTTTTCAATAGGCCAAATGAATTCTTTTCCTGCTTTTGATTATTGTTTTTAAATTCCTTATCTAAAGCTTGAGGCTAAAATATAAATGTGGGCATGTCTGTCAGAATTAACATCTCAATATACTAAGTCAGTGAAGTGACTCGCTGCGGGTTAGACCTGGGTTCAGTTCCCACTAGGAAGAGGGATTTTCATCTTCACACAATGTTCAGACCGGCTACAGTCCTTCCACCACCCTGTTTCTTTGCATTATGTTAAACGTTTGTAGTTCTGTCAGATTTGAGGTTTTCAAGGCTGTGATGATGATGTTATTCTTCTGGATTTTGACACCATGTAAACTCGTCGGGAGACGCCATCGTTTCGGAGAAACACACTGTTTCCATCCTCAGGGCTCCGCTTGTAGTATTTGTTCTTCCACTTTAATCGAACTTCATACCCATCAGCGTATGTAATAAGTCTCATATTCTTTAAAAGAAAGAGACAAACTCTTTTTATTTCTTTAATTGTTTATGTTTAATTATTATGTTTCTTACGTCACTCTTCATTCGTTTCTGTTGTATTCTGTCATTAAGAAATCAGTTTGTAAATGAACGTCGTGAAATATTAGCTCATTCACCTTCTACAGTTTATTGTATATTTTTAATACACTATTTCCTTGGTTTTCATAGTTATAAGGCATTGTGGTTCGAGAGTGGTAATGAATTGGTTGGAAAGAGCAAGGTTGGAATTATATTTTTGTACGCCTGATCTCGGCCTTGATTTCAAGGATAAATGATCTGCGTTGGAGGTGTTGTCAATTTGAACAGGTTCGTTTCATTTCTCCGCCTTGTAATTACGAGCTTAGTGTTCAGCATTGTGGCCGTTTGGGTCTGTGAATGGACGATTCTGTGGCAGAATTCAACAAGAACAACGAGTGAGAAAACTCGTATTTCCTTCGATCCAAAGAGCTGATGGCAGTCTTAATACATATATTTGTGGTTCATTTAATTACGTTGAACCAATTTCTGAGGGTACTAGGCGTAGATTGATTCTCAAAAAACAGTGTGTGAGAATGTGAATTGGATTTATCTGGCCCTGGTATGGGGTTCAGTGACGGGCTTTTGCGAACCTGGTATGGAACCTTGTGATATCATGAAATACGGTGATTTTTTTGAGTAGTTGAATTAATATGAACTCTCTTATATGAAATTAATTATTATGTTATAAAGCCTGAAAGATGGGATTGACATGAAACCAAATTGCCTTGATATTTTTGTGTCATGAATTGAGCGCATTTTGATTGGACGGAAGACCTTGCATCGCGGATAACCTCAGCTCTGACAGAATGAAAGGTCTCTTTCTATAAATCCAGTTATTTAAACATACAGTGTGACGGTTACATTAAAATTAAACCAATACAAAACATTGGCTAGTAACACTCGTTTCAATTAATATTCTAGGTTAACAACTATCTGCCGACAGTCACTTTCGTCAGTCAGTTATTTATGAATGTGGTTTATTTAACGACGCTTTCAGTAACTCAAACTGTATAGCGTCGAATAATAAGACGAATAATGAATAAAGCATTTGAAAGGACATGGAAGCGGTCGTGGCCTAATTCAGGTACTGCTCGGGCATTACCCTGGAGGGACAGACGAAAATCACCAAAGACCGCAATCAGGATTGCCGATCTCCGGGTCGAAATTTGAACTCAGGGCCACCTGAATACGACGCAGCGGTGCCACTCGGTCACAACTTTCGTGTTTTATTGAACCTGAATATAGGATAAATTTTACTAATTTACTGCTGTGGTTTGTATTGATAACATGTTATGATTTTTAGGTTCAATGGTGATATGAAGAATGTCTTGCAGCAGAAATTAATTTATATGAATTAAGAAACAACAGTAATAATATATCGAAGGCCATAATTACAGTATGATGAAAAAGGCTAATTAGGTGAAGAATTTCATGTCAGACATTTTGTAACGTTCTTTCAGAATTCGTGGTGAATACTGAATTTCTCTGTGTTTCCATTGACATAGCATCACCTCCATAAAGCTCGCAACAAAAAATGTTGTATTTTCACTACAGAATTTGATGTTACATTTGAACTAGACCCTGAAAATAATGGCTTATAGTCCACTATAAGTGAATATATCTGCTCTGTAGGCAGAGGAAAATGATGATGCATGTATCTTACCGTCAAGTTTGTTGATACCTGTTTGCTACCCGCATATAGCCCGGTTGTTCGTTTCAGAATCCGGAGCCCCCGGAATCGTGGGTCGGAGTGCGAGAAGCGACGGAGTACTCCCCCGTATGCATCCAGAGAAGCATCTTTGCCAAGCAGATAGACATAACGGGATCAGAAGACTGCCTGTACCTCAACGTCTTCACACCGCAAGTATGCGCAGAACTTCAAACTCTCTAACTCCGAAGATGACTGACTATTCTTGGTTGTTGCGCCGTGTAGTCTGGCAGTTTGCCATCGTTTCAGATGTGTTTGATGCCTCTGTTCTTGGGGCGATGGTGCAATGAACACTACACCACTTATATTTAGACTGACCCGCGGCACTGATAAGTCAGAGAAGTTGCCGCCCCAACATGGCGCACATTCTGTAGTATAGCTCTTGATTAAGAGCGCACGTAGCTATTACATTTTACTCCACTGTTGTGGTAGCATTGAATCTGTAAACAATAATATGCTGTGTGTGGAGGAACATTTCTGTTGAATTTTCAACGGATATTACACTAGAGAGTAAAGTAAAGTTTTATAGCCTGAAATGCTACAATGTACATTTTGATGAACTACTTAACTTTAGTTCTAGTTTGTTATGTTACCCACTATATTTAAAAACAATGTGCTCTATATGTCACGTAACTGATATATGACTATAGCAAGCCCTGGTAACAGGAAAACATCTGATTAACCTTAAAAAAGAAAGAAACCAAATAACACGACGTTACGTAAGAAATAATTATCCACGCGGATGTTTAATATTGGTATAGAAAGGATGAAATAATATTCCACGGCCTTCCGTGGTTGTGTGTTTAGCCTTCCAGCAACAGTGACAGGCAAAATGCCTGCCATGACTGGGTCTAATATTACAGCACTTTCGTCAGTATGTAAGTACGTCTCGGGACAAGATCTTCGTTTGTTTATTTATGGACGCTGTGGATGATTCATATTATAAGCTTGTCATGTCGAATGATAGGATGCCACTAGCGTTATTCCCGTGCAATTTCGTGCTATCGCCATGTTGGTATTCTGAGTGTCAGTTGAAAGTTCTAAGATGTGGAGTTCTCGGTTAGTCTGATGTTCATACCAGTTTTCATAAAAAAATATCAGTAATACCTAGGACAGGGACCGGTGGAGGGCTTTGGTTAATTCGGTGATTCTTCTGTTTCCATAAGCCTTCTAGTTAGTTTGCCTGTAATACTGATGTGTGTAATCGGAGTTTGAAGGTTCAGAGTTATTTTTACTTTAAACATTGTTTAAGTGTTATTGAAACCACAACATTTGGGAAGCTGGATTGCGTTTCAAGGCTAGCTGAAAAAATGGGGCCTAACAGTTTAAGTCTTTATTCTCCTTTTACGTGAAGGCGAAAGTAGAGCCGACTTCCGGAATGTTTTGGTTTTAATAACGTCTACACGAGTTATAAGTCCAAAAATAAACACTGATGCCAGTAGCTTACATGTGCAGCTTACTGTTAGGGCTATAAAATTAATTCTGCTGCATTGTAATCCTGAAACGATCCCTAGGACACATACGGTGAGATGACTGCTGTGTCTACAGGTACTTTCCAGCCTCAGGATGGACGTGATGGTGTGGTTTCATGGGGGTGGCTTCGTGTCGGGGGCGGGGTCATTCTACGGTCCGGAGTACCTGTTGGATGAGGACATCGTACTAGTGACTGTCAACTACAGGCTTGGACCCATCGGTAAGGCTACAGCCTACTGTGGGTTCACTCCTGGGGGACAAAGCTACTGGAATGTGAAGCTCAACCTTTACCAGAATTTAATGCTTAGATTAGAATTCATGGTGCTTTACATCCACAGTCCTTATACGTCTTATGATGATGATTTGTTTCCATTATTTAACACATCAGATGTACATGCATAGACTATACATTGCTAGCTGTTATAGAAAATTGTGAAAGAAATCTTCGTTTCAGATAATATTCCTGAAGTAGCCTGATTTTACAAAACGCAGCACCTTATTTCAGAAAAATTGACAGTTTTTTTTGTGCATATAAAAACAAATATTTTTTGTTATTTGCTGTTCTCAGAAAAATTGTTAAGATAATATTTAAAATGTGGTTTGTGCAACACGTAGTTAGTGCATCAAGAACATAAATTTAAGAGGTCTTGAAACTTCTCTCCAGTTGAAAAAGGACACCTAAGCCAACGTTTTTCTTCAACTGTCTTGTGACAAACAGCATAATAGCACAATGACTTATTGCTTGATTGATATTACACTAGTTCCTAAGAAAAGACGTGTATTAAATAATTTGGAATCTCCTGCATTCTTTTTTAACTCACAGTTTATGATGTACCTCTTACTTAAGTTTTGACTTATATAAGCCAAAAAGCTAATACAGGGAAATAAAACTGTTACTGCAGGTTTTCTGAGCACTGGAGATGTTGCAGCACCAGGTAATTTTGGGCTGAAGGACCAGGTGGCAGCTCTGCATTGGGTGCATAATAACATAGAGTTGTTTGGGGGAAATCCAAGCAGTGTGACCCTATTTGGGGAGAGTGCTGGAGGAAGCAGTGTTCATTATCACATGCTGTCACCCCTGAGCAGAGGTGAGTGTGTGTAATATAACAGAAAAGTCATCTCTTTATCGAAAGAAACAAAATTAAGCATAACATCATGCTAATTCACACTTATTTTCATCAGCAGAGTAGATTACATGTTGTAATAGATATGATCTTAGCTTCCTCTTAAAATACTAAATTTATAACCAATTTCCTCATTTGATTTGGCAATTTGCTGTATAATTTAATTCTCATGTTCACTACACTTTTCTTAAAACGCTGGTTCTGCAACACTGAACATGGAGATGCAACTTTGGCATGTGTTGTGTTTATGAATTTTTATGTTTTGTTCCAACTACTCAGTGTTTATTTATATTTCATGTGCAAACCACTGGAAGTATATTTATATCCTTTAAGAGTGTCCAACATGAAGTACATCTGTTTTAATACAATTCCTTTCTATCTGCTGGGAGGACATTGTTATTATTTTCTCTGTATTTATAAGACTGTTTGTAAAACCAGAATTCCAGCTCATTCAAAACATTGATGACCATGAGTACAGCTTGTATATGTTGTTGGCAGGCCTGTTTCACCGTGGTATCTCTCAGAGTGGTACAGCACTTTGCTCTTGGGCTTTTGCAGCCAATGGATCTTCATCACACCAGGCTAGGAAATTGGCCAAGCTTCTGGATTGCCCCACCAGCCCAAATGCAGGCCTGGTGGAGTGTCTTAGAACTAAGGATGCTAGAGATGTCATAGCAACAGACAAACAATTCATGGTATATGATATATTAGTGACCATGTGCTTTACACATTGTTATTAGTTAGTAGTCATAAGGTCTTAGGGTTTTCACTTGTTATCTTGATCTGTCTTAATTATATCTTTTATAAGTTTTTCTTTCCCTGTCTCCTTTGCATCACCCAGTAGTATACACTTTAATAATGAAAATACATTTTGAAGGTGGCCATCATCTGGGTTGTGCTGTGAAGTCTTATTAACATTTCAGAGGTACTTCCTGTGTCCATCAACAGGGTGATTACCTGGAGGCAGGAGGCGCCTCAGAAACATCATTAAACTTCTACCAGACTTTATGGAGCAACAAACCAGAAGCCTTGAGAACCTCAAACTCAGAAACTATGTTTTGTCATTATTATTGTAATTAATTTATTTTTTCTCATTTATGTTTAGTATTGCTGGTAATGTATGTTTCATGGTATACAACAAGTCTTGGGCTGCAAGTGTGCTTTTCTCAGTGCCAGATATCCTTTGTTTTCAGGAATGGGATGTGGATCCACTGATTCCATTCAAACCTGTAGTAGAACCTACAGGACTGCAGGATGCATTCTTGCCTGCTGAGCCTCTACAGCTTCTGCAGAAAGGCCCTCTCTCCATCCCCTGGTTGACAGGGATCAACTCAGCAGATGGAGCACTGAAAGCAGCACGTCTGTATACATTTACCTTATGAATACAGGTTTACTGCTGACACAGTTCTCCCAAACAGAAACACAAAATTGAGCACAAAGGAAAAGTCAGTAGTTTTAAACCCAGGAATTAGTATTGTAACGTGGGACGGTATTAACAAACTCCTTATCTGGGCCTTGGTCTGATATTCTCAACTTTTCTTTTAATACGTCTGCCATACTTGCTATACTTTTATTTTGGTAAGAATTTCTTATTTTTCTACTATTTAGTTTGTATATTTGGACCATAAAATGTTACCTGAATGTGCAGTAAAACCTCCATATCCCAAAATGTAAGAGACCCACAGTTTTTAGACTTTATTCTATAAAGTTGTGTGCATAGAATTTATAACCTATATATGTATTTTATTGCATCTCACTGGGGTTCGTGGGTTTCTGTTATAGTGGTGTTTTGAAGCTGGAAATGTTTTTAATTGATATTCATTATGGTTATGTGCTGTAGCAATCTATGAGAAAGCAGAATTGGTGGCTGAGCTGAATTCTCAGTTTGAGCGTGTGGCTCCAATTACTATGTTTTATGGAGAGGTAAGCTCTCCAGATGTGGCTGCTGAGATCAGCCAGCGTATCAAATCTTTCTACTTCAAGGAGCAGCCCATTGGAAATGAGACCATGCATAGAGTAGTGGATGTAAGCAGATGGTAGTATGCCTTTAGGTTTAAGAAAACCCGTAATAAGGAGGTTTAAATTTACTGTTTGCGTATAATGAAGTTTAACATACAGAGACTTTATGAAGCACATGTAAGAATATTGAAAGTTGAACAGAATGTTGGATGCCAAAAAACTAATACAAGTTATGGAGGCAGAAATTCTACCTGTATACCTCTAGGACTTTAATTCCAGAAAAGATCTAATATAGACAGAAATGAAAACCAAAATAATTTGTTACTGATATCCATAACATACACCATGCCAAACTGTAAACCAAATAAAATATTAATTGTAAGTTAAACACATGTCTTGAATTTGTGAGAATCCAAAAGAGTTTTTAAATATTCCATTCAATCTTACAAAACAAAAGGATGTGTAAATGTAGGATTTGAGGTTTTCACATCGGTGAGTATGAGGATTTCTGTCTTCTGGGTTGTTGCGCTGTGTAGTCTGGTTGAGGTTAACATCGACCAGACTACACAGTGCAACAACCGAGAAGACAGAAATCTTCGGATGTGTAAATATTAAAGGATTTTACAATAATTATAAATAGTAAACTTTTTAGTAACTGTATACACATTAACACCAATGTTTTTTTAAAAAATCAAAAGGCAGATGAAATGCTAGAAATTTTATTGTACATGTGGATGATGATTGTTATTCTTTCTTTATCATTTTTTACTATGGACTTGAAGAACTTCTTACTCTAGAAGCAGTAATAGTATAGTGCCAAAATTGTCCATAATAAATTAGGTGTTTTCATAGATTCAAAGTCAGCACTTCAAATAATAATGAAATATGAGCCTAACTTCTGTTATGACACAAGTTATGGAGAAATAGGTAAGTTGTACTTCATTGGGTTTCTAGACATTGTAATATTTTAACATTCCCATTTAGTGTTTTATGATTGAAGGTTTTCTCTCATTTGGTGTACAATTTCTGTAGCTCTCAACACCAAAGTTCTTCATCACTTTACCTTTTTCAACCATTATGTTTCAGAGGAACATTAAAGAAGGGTTTAACATCAAAGTTACTGCTGTTACATGAATGGACAGATTTGTTTTTTTCTTCTTGATAACTGCATGATAAGCTCTATTTCTCATTGCTTATCTGGAGACCTCTGATATTTCACATACTGTTACAGATGTACACAGACAGTTTCTTTTCGTGGGCAGCAAATGAGGCAGTGCATATCCATCTGTCCAGGAACTTTGTTGAGGGTGATGGTGCTTCAGTATACTATTACTACTTTACATATCGAGGACCTCACAGCTACAGCGAGCTCTTTGGTGACCCCACCAGAGATTTCGGTGAGTGTTTTGCAAAATAAGCCATGCCATTCCATATTTTATTTCATAATTCATGCCATCATGTCATTCATACATACTCATAAATTTCTTGCATTTCATTCTTATGTATGAAGGGGGACATAAATAAAAAATATAATGTTAAAAGTCTGAAAGGGGCAGAAGCTGATATATAATACAAAAAAGGTGAGTGCAGTAAGTGGGAAGGCTTCAAATGTGAGGTTCTATGGCAAAAATTATCTGTTGCAGCCATGTGGAATTACAGATAAGATATTGTGTCATGCACCTAATGTGGTGGTGTGGCATAAAGGAAGAGTAAGTACATGAAGTGTTTAAATGGTAATAGAGGCTGTGTTGTTTGTTACAAATGAACTCTTTGTGGGGCCTGCTCAGTTTATTTAATTGTGAATGTTTACAGTTTTTAAATTTCTCTCTATGGACAATTACCTAACAACATGGAAAACACTTTTTCAACAAATTTCCAATATGGTAAATTATGAAAAGAATTCTTTCTATAAGTGTGTCATTTAGTGAATAAGGGTAATTTTTTCAGGTGTCTGTCATGCTGATGAGCTCATCTATTTGTTTCCATCTGCAAGAGTTTTTGGCAACTTTAGTGCAACACCTGAGGAAGAGCAGATGACTGACTGTCTCATTCACATGTGGACCAACTTTGCCCACACTGGGTGAGGGGCTAAGAACTGTTAATTATATCATCAATAGTGTCTTCTGAAAATGTAAATTTAGCTTACATTTGTTCTTGCATTTTTTCAATCATGTGACAGTGAAACGCATTGAACACTTATTATTTGTGTGGTGAATTAAATCTGGAACAAGTCAGAAAATGTATGCATAGTGTGAGAAACCTGACACTGTTGCTAGAATTTGTGTTTATCTTTATGAATCACACCAGTGAAATCAGATTTTTCTGGGGTTGACCAATGCATGGGCAAGGTATCCAATTTCTGTTTTGCTGGGTGGTGGCATCATCATATAGGATTCCCTCCAAATGGTTGTGTTGCTGGCTGAAAATTCTGTGACTGGGGTTGCCCTAGCCAGTATTTCAATGCACAGAAACATGTAGGTCTTTATATAAAGTACCATAGTGCACAGGTTTTTATAAAGGAGTTGTACACCATTTTGCATTAAGAATGCTAAGGTAAGAAGAGGAAGATAACTTACCAGAATTAAGAGCCAACAAATGGACACCTGTTCTGAAAGTTTATTCAATGAGGATGTAATATATTTCAGGAATCCAACACCCTTGGATACAAAGAAGGATGTGATGTCCACAACATGGCAGCCAGTGACCTCTATAGACAATCTTGAGTATCTGCACATAGAATCACCAAGTAACATCTACATGAACAGCGGTCTACTCAAGGATCGTGTTAGGTTCTGGTCTTCACTGCCTCTTGGTTTTACAAACACTGCACGTACACTCCTGCGGGATGAACTATAACAGGTGACAATGTCAGTCTTCTGGGTTAAAACACCATGCAGACTTGCCAGAAGATACCAGCATTTCAGAGTAACGTACATATTTAGCCTACAAATCTACACAGAATTACAAACTAGAAGACAAACATTAATATCTTCAAATCTCATACAAGGGTGAGTTCAGAAATTAATTATTATATGCTGGATTTCAAATTTTGTCTGTTATCATACATACTGAATATAACACAGCATTTTAGAAACTGGATCTGTTTCTGTCCTTTGATGAAAAAGTGTGAGGAGTTTCTACTCAGATGGGTCTATTAGAAATGGCTAATGTCAAATTAAGGTTAAACTTATGTATAATTTCATGTTATTTGTATGATAAAGAATTGCTAGACTCAAGTAGAAACTGACAAATTACTTGTTTCTTCTTTGTGTTATCACTTTCAATGTACATAGCAATGTCAGTTATTATTCCAGTTGCAAATATACTATTTCTAAATAATTTATTTATTTATTTTATATATGCAGTATATTTAATATAACCCTTGCAGGTTAATTTCCAGTTATCTTTTCATACAATCCATGGATCCATATGTTAGACAGATGACAACCTTTGTAGGCTGATTAAAAAAATAGTTTGCTATCCACAGGTGCATCCCATCTTTTTGTCTCCACTATCACCAAATGGACAATACTTATAAAGAAAACAAAGTGATCAATGTTTATACAAGTACGGTTTTATTTATTATAAACTACATATTTTATGGATCCGTGTGCATACATAATCATACATACGTGTGTTAATTGTTGCCAATGTGTCTCATTAGTTTTGAAATATGTGAAATGATTGGTAGATTTTAGTTAATTTCTTCAGATGTGCTGTCAAGTATTCATTGACTTGCTATGTTGCAGGTTCTTCACCCTTCCAAATAAAGACTGTTCTTGTTATGCCCTGTATTACTGGCACCATTAAGCGATGAACAGAAATCACCATTAATTTATGTGTTTAATCTAGTGTCTTTGTAGAAAGATTGAAGCCTAGGATTATGTGTATTAATTAAATTCTGCTCTTTACACTGCTCACATGTTGTGATCTACCATGATTGTATATGTATTTTTGTTTTTGACCTTCTGTACAATGCTGGTTCTTAATTTAATTATTGCTGCTGCTTCATTTATCAGGGTCATTTAGTACTGAATAATGGATTATGGTATAGTGAATCCAGTAATAGGAATAGGCAGAATTGTCTGTATTTTATAATTATCAAGATATTTGTTTCTGTTACTCTGATAAGAGTCATCTGTTTATTATATTAAATGCTCTTTATGCAATTTACTAATGAAATTGTATGTGCCCTTAACAATAAAATGCATGTGGGTGGAATATCTTGTGACCTAGCCAAGGCATTTCACTGTGTAAATTGATATTTTATGGAATTCGAGGTATAGCAGGACAATGGTTTAAATCCTACCTAAATAATAGAAGGCAGAAAGTAGAAATTAAAAGCCCCCATACCAATCATAATACCTATTCAGAATGGGGTATCGTAAATCACGGAGTGCCACAAGGTTCAGTTCTTGGACCCTTACTTTTCCTCATATATATATATCAATGACCTGCCGGCAACTATAAACTCTATATCCAAACCTATTCTTTTTGCTGATGATACAAGTATCATTATTACACACCAAGAATTGATCTATCTTGAAAATATCACAAATGATGTCTTTGCCAACATAAACAAATGGTTTAGAGCTAACAAACTGGCACTAAATTTTTAAAAAACAAATTTAATAAAATTTGTTACTAAGCACAAAACATATCCTGGGTTAAATATAGGTTTTGAAGAAAAACTAATTGTGGAAGTTGAAACAAACAAATTCCTTGGCTTACAAGTTGACAATACCTTAAATTGGAAGAAACACATTGAATAT